TATATATATATATATATATATATATAACTATAGGTTCAGTTGAGAAGTGGTAAGTATTTGAGAAGTAGTGAAGTTCTTATAGCCTTTCATCTGGTCAAGATTTATAGTTATGACTGTGAAAGACTGGATAATTCCTCGCATGGTGTGCATAAGATAGATATATAGTTTGTTAACTTTTACAAATAGGGGGCAAAACAAGTGAATATGTGAACCCATGTGATTCCAATATGAACTATATGTTCATATGTGAACCCGTGTATATTCACATATGAACCCGTGTGATTCATATGAATGATTCAATCCCTTCCCACTCACACGGGTTCTTCTATTGAAGAGGTTCCCCTTGAGGTGGGGCGTACATAAGAGCGGAACCTAGATAGAACGCGGAGCACCGRCCCCGGCCGCCGATACAGTTACCATGCTTACCAGCTCTTACCATTGCCGCCTATACCGTGGGCTCCGAGAATAGAAGTGGTTCGTTTTCTTTCTATACGAAATTAAAGATTTCGTTTGTGTTCATGTTGGCGATTTCAGATGTCAATTCGGCGGTTCGTCCCCCCTTCCTACGGGTTCCCCCACCCCCYTGAATAAGTAAGGCCCCGCTCTTTCTAATAAAAAAAAGAGGGGCGAAGCGCCCGTTTGAAGTGGCGAAGGCCTWTGCTACAGTAAGAAAAAAAGTAGGTTTCGGTTACGAAGTCACTTAGTCGAACTATAGCAGGGCTTCTTTTTGAAAAAGGGGGAGTGAGGGGTGGGGAAGGTCCGAAAAGCCCTCACTTTATTGATGGGGCATTTGGATCCCCTTTTCCTCTCGACAAAACAAAAAGTATCATAGTACGTCGTCCTTCCCTGAAATGGAACTTTCATGCTGGCCTACTCATCCGCCACCCAAAAGAGTTAGCGTGAACTACTTGACTGAAGACCCCGCTTTCTTGCCCATTTTCGAGCAAGCTGTTATACATAAAGACATATATGGTAGAATCGTAACCATAGAATACGACCCGAATCGAAATGCATTGGCGATCATTAGAAATTCACGAATTAGAGATGCTGTAATATACTCTTTCCCATAACTTCTCATACCAGGATCTACTGCTGGATAGATACCTTTGGCTGCTAATCCTCTTGATAGTACCGTAGTAGCATCTAAATGTGTAAGAAGATTTTCTTTTATCTCCTTTGCGATTACTTCAAGATTCTCACTGCCTTTCTTTCCCATGACTAGGAACGGCCAAATCAAAAATTTCACTTCGAATTTCGGACCTCAACATCCTGCTGCTCATGGGGGGAATCATTTGTTTTTCTTGACAAAAAAATGGAAAATCAACAAATAGTGGTTTATGGTAATCCAACGCCTAGTGATTTACTATTTATGGATAGTGCTCTTTTTTCGTTCCCGTGGTGGATCCCGGGTGACAAAGTAAAAGCCTTTGATCCTTTGCCCCATACTTTGAGATGCTCCTCCCCGCCGATCAAGCAGCGACGCTGCTCTTAGCTTTAAGCCGCTATCGTTCGGTTCGGATAAGTCAAGTCCCTTCGGTCAGTTCGCTCAGGTGATCCTCCCTTATCTTCCCTAACGTTCAGAGTTGTTCTGGTTTGAGAAAGGAGCACCGGTCGAGCGCCCTGAATGAATAAGAAATTGACAGCAGAGGTMATTGCAGATTCTTATTCGAACGAGTTGAAGCTAACAACATGTCGATTACACACCGGGGGTTGGTAAGAACTGAGGGACAATGCCCCTCTAACCTAAGTGGGCCTACCTGCGAAGCAACTGGTACGGGGGGGCGGTTTGGTTTCGTGCAAGGCCCTCGCAGCAGGAAGAGGCAGTTGTCATTTGAAAGAAAACGCTCTTTGTTTGTATAAGGTTCCAAACCTTCGCACCCTGATGAAAAAGCCCTTTCTTTTCTATCTTATTAGTAAAGCCTAAACGTCCTTATTGAAGCCTAGCTAACGAGAAATCAAAGCGATAACGCACCTTTCCTAAGATCTCATCCTTCAGAGACTACGAGTGTAATAGGAGCATCCGTCGACAAAAGGATCACCCAGCCGCATACTGGTTTGAAGCGGGTTAATCAAGTTACTTACCTTTAGTAGATCAGTCATCCAAGAATCAAATATCTGAGTTCTGGGTTTATAAATAGGAGGTAGGATAGTTCCAATACGAATAGGTAGACTAGCAGTAACGTCTTTGGTTCCCGGCTTTGATAGCTTGAAAGCAAAGGTGAAGATTCCATCTTAGCCAAGGACCCCCACTAACCCGCCAAAAGATCTCATCCTCCCCCCTTCATCTTGATCTTGACAGAGGAACATGAATTGGACCTGATAAAGTAACCGGCGGCAGGTTAGTACAGTTCTCCTGCTTGCGGATTTTTCCCTGCGCTGATTCAGGAGAACGAACAAGATACGGGTTGAGAAGGGGGAGTTAGCAAAGTTAGACGATGCGAACAATCAGTCGAAGGAGCGGAGCTTAGAGTCTTGACTTTCTATATTAGTCAAGCTTCAAAGCCAGATCTTCGTCTTTCATATAGAAAGGAGACCTCTCCTTCTCAGGTTATCCCATTTTTTGCTTGAGTCCGGCTTAGCTTCAGGTACGAGTCAAGAACAGAAGAAGGGGATCGCCACAATCAAGAAGCAAGCTAAAAGCTGTTGTTTAGATGACTTTATGTTATGAAAGAACCCAGAAAAAAAGTAATTATTGGAGTAGCCCGCCCAATAGAGGCTTTCTTAGCGAAAAAAGTCTATTCATGGATGAATTAGGGGAAAGAGTCTTCACCTTACTTTCAAGTGTCAATCATTTTTATATGAACAAATTAATTGATTCATATATGAACTAATTAACGGGTTCACATATGAACTATCGGTTCATATATATAATGCCCTTATGGGTTCACATATGCACTTGTTTGTCGTCTATTTGTAAAAATTACGAAACTATCCCTCAATTTTTTTATTTGATCAGCAAAGCCCCAAATTATGACAGTATAAATTTGACAAAAACCAAGTTGTCAAAAAGACAAAATAAACATGCCCTATTGAATTATTTCCACAAATTGAAAGAGATCATTTTTTTTATTAATCTGGATATCCAACCCGTTATGCAAGAAATAGATCATTTTTTTATAACAGGTTCAATTTCAATTCCGATTCCAATAATCCATCATGTCTTAATAATTTTGATAAAGACGTCTAAAAAGATAACACTTTTCCAAATGAAGAGAGAAAAAAAGTCACGTGGAATTATCAACTTAAGAAAAATCTTCTAAGCAGAGATTGGGTTCATGTTCATGTATAAAATAACATCATCTAATCTAAATTTTTTGTATATTTGAGAAATGGAGAGAGTGGAGGGACTTCTTTTTTATGCCTCGGTAGAAGGAAATGTAACCCAATTGCAAATATTGCTTCAAGAAGATCCATTGATTCTTGATAGAGTTACTGTAAACCGTAGTGACAACATGCCTCTACACGTGGCGTCAATGCTTGGACATTTCGACTTTGTCAACGAGATCCTAAGTCGAAAGCCGCAGCTTGCCAGAGAGTCCGATTCACAAAGACGCTTGCCCCTTCATATAGCATCTGCAAAGGGGCACGTGGAAATAGTTAAGGCGTTGTTATCGGCTCACCCTGAGACGTGCCTTGCACGTGATCGTGA